GAAAAAAAACCGAACAAAACTGCTGTTTGTATGCCTTTACGGAGCAAAATATAAACTACAATGTGGATGATATCTTATAAAATTTTGAACTTCGCATAGATTGACGTCACTCGGTGTTCATTTCCGAGCGATGAAAACCGCAGATCTTTAGCTGTGTGCATTTTCAGAGCTATTCAATTGATTACGAGATGCATTCTATCAGACAAATAATAATTCAAACTTGTCTATGTATCGTAAGTTGAAAATAAGAGAAATGCGAAGAACATTTTTCTTTCTTATCTATCTTTTTTATTGATAAAAATAAAAACTTTAATCAAAGCCTGAAATAAAATAGTGTTCAATAGTTTTTTTTTCTCTTTATAAGAAAGAATAAGAAAAGCTTTTGAGTAAAGCGTAGTACGAGAGAGCAACATACAAAGACGGAGAATATTATTTAAAAGATTAAAAAAACAAATACAGAAAACCGGTAGTAGAAAGATAACCTGAAATAAAAGGAAAAGAAAGGAAAAAAGGTTCATTAGAACTACTGGTGTTGTTCTAATAAGTGTTTTATTTCACTTATGGTTGATAATATAGATACTGTTAATTTGTAATAATATGAGAGATTTCAACTTCTCTTTTCTTTCTTTTTGGAAAGGAAAGTTAAAAAAAACTCATAACTTTCCTTTCTATAAAAAAGAGGAAGACATAAAAGTTCTTCTTTTCTTCCCTTTCTAAAAGTCAAAGTGTCACGTCTGTTCAAGTGAGACTTCATGTGTATTAAATTTATTATGAAGGTAATTTCTTCTCGAAATATTTAACAATCAAGAAAATTTGCATATCTTATAGATAAAAGACCAGAGCACCAATCCCTTCGATGATTGATTATTTCGAGAGAAACTTGTATCATTCAATCTTTGACTTACCCATAAGGTCGAAAATTCAGTAAAATAATCATAACCTCGTAAGAACAACGCGCTGACTCGAATCCTTTTAAACTTCTACTAATTTCAGCGAATCCTGCATATGAACAAACTAGGAATTCCTTAGGCGTTCCACAATTGGCAATGTTACCTGGTTAGCATTCTTCTTAAAAAAAAACCATCCTACATGAGAAAAAGACACCCTAAAAAGTAATTTCAAGTATATCTTAGTATATACAAATTTCCTTTATAATTATATAACGATGAATCCAAATAATTAAAAATACTTTCAACCCAATAGTTGTAGAATTAAAAACTGAGACATAATGCAGCTATTCGACTCTTACACAGGTTGATTTTATCAATAGTTTCTGTAATTGATATTATTTAAAAACAATTCAAAGTATCACACAGATTTAATATACTAAAAATCAGAGAGATTCACAGAGCTAATCGTTGCAACATTTCTTTTAAAATACAGTGCACCCAGAAAAAAATTTATTCTTTAATTAACCATTTAAAAAATGAACAATTTATTTCCAAAGTTTCAATTTACTAATTCTATTTTCGTAATTAACATTTTAGATTATTCAAATAAACTGTTTTTTTTTTTTAATTATAACTTTCAATAAGATACAACAAAATTATGATGAAATGTGTAACAGCATTCATTTATTTATTATTAATTTTAATTATTTATGTTGACCAACAACAGGCTAGTCCTTTAGATTTTTTGTCTAGAAAACATTTTGAATATTATCCATTATCGTTGGACGATACAATTGATGATATTGAACAAACACAACATGAACGTTCTAATGATCGTGATTTTAGACGTTTTATTAATGACCCATCACTATTTCAACAACAACGACGATTTGGTAATACAAAATATGGTCGCAGTTTATTCAATGCTTAGAAAAAAACCCGTTACATACTATTTTCCTTTCTCTTTATTTGATGTTCTTATTTCAACAATAAACATGATGTCGTGATAATAGAAATAAAAATAAATGTAACATCAGATATATCTAGTAATCACTGACAAGAAAAAAAGTATCTATTGTTAAGATTGATTGCATATAAAAATTTATCCTTGAATACAATTCTACAAAATTTGACATGTATGACACAGATATCACACAAGCTATCAGATCTGTCTGTCATATTTGTCCTAAATTTTCAACTAGACAATTTATGTATCTAAATATAGAGTAGAGTATGTTTATCATTGGAAGCTGAGATATTAGTTTATGTATCATTCTTTGCCGAGCATAATTAACTCCAGCAATAGATTCTGACTACATTATTCGGTGTCTCTATGTTTATTTATCCATTTCGATAATTTACTGTTCTCACATTGTGGCAAGCTATTATTTAATATAAATAGTTTATTGTATCTGATTTCTATTCAAAGTGTCGTAATAGAACAGAACTGGATATGTTCTTTTGAATAAATCTATTACATGTATTGAAAATATTTTTATTGAAAAAAAAGTTTTTTTTTTTTTTTCTTCGTTGTCGTTTTCTGACAGTTATCTGCTGTATTAAATTAATAAATATTTTGCATAATGATATCATTTTGGTATGCAAGATTTTCCTAATTTCTTCAAAAATTAGTCATCAACTTCTTACTATTAATATATTAAAAAAATGTAAGGAGGTCAAGCTAATACAAATTAATGACAGACATATGTAGAATGAAGGAAAAAGGAAAAATTAGTAGATATGAATAATAGGTGAGAAATGTATAGTAATAGAATAAAAATATTTTCAACAAAATCTTCAACTAAATGTAAAATAAGGAAAAAAAAAGGATAACCGTTTAGACATGGTGACTAATTCTTCTAACTTTTTTTTTTTTTATTGAGGAACGCTCTAAAACAAAAGTAAACGTCTACTACTTTTCAAAAGTATCATGAGTTTTAAGAGGTTTAAAGAAAAAAATTAATATGATTACTTCATTTGTTTTACTTATTTTACTTCGGCAAAAAAAAAAGAAAGTTGAATTTGTAGTATCATTGAGTATGTTTGCGACTATAATGACTAATTTCAGTTTTTTTTTAGAGTGAGATAGCTATGTTTGGCTAAGACAATGTAGCAAAAAAGAGTCTATTTATTAATATTTACTCAGCTATTTCAAGCAAGATTTAGTACGCAGTTATAGGCTTTTAACTTTTTTAATTTTACATCGGATGTTAGCTTTGACTGTGCAATCAAATGACATATGCAATAACTAAAACGATTTTTTTTTCTTGATTCAACTTAATCGTAGTTCTAATCATTTTAATGTTTAAAAAAAAAGAAGTTCTAGCAAACAGTTTGTCTATATCCGATAAAACATGTGCTTGCATATCAGCTCATGCTTATTGAAACATCATTAGACACGTTAAGATTTCTATATGGTACAATTTCTTTCCTAGTTTTTCTATGATGTTTTGTTTGTCCAAACTAAAATTCAGATATTATAAATAATCTCCTTTCTTAATCAAACATTGATACAGGAAAAAAAGCACAAAACTTCGTAAATGGTAGATGACCGTTAATATTTGATATAAATATTAAATAAATACAATCTCATTTGCATGAATTCAATAGATAAAGCTGATATACAGAAGCGATTCAATATCGATATTTATCGTATGTAAACAAAATGCTTGATTAAACACATCATAGTTTCTCAGTGATTTCCCAATAGAAATAAATTGAAGTAAAAATTGTTCTTTTCCATAATAACCATAGTAAGATTAGATGTAAATTCAACAACAACTTTCATCAATTCGATAGATATCAAGAGTTTTTGTTATTTGTGCAATGTCGAAAAGTTAAAATTAAAATTCGAAATAATTTGCACCATTCTCACACTCTAAGCTGAGCTCAAAGCCTACAAAAAATTAGATCTGTTGGCATTTTTGACATGTTCAAGCGTAAGTGAGAATTGATATTGATAAATAAATGAAAGCAACATATTTTTTTTATGGGATTAAAAATTATTCATTTTATTTTAGAAGAGAAGACAAAGTATTTATTGAAATGAATCGATTTACATGTTCTAACAGTTGGACAGCTAGAGCGTTGGCAAAAGTCATGATCTGCAGAATTAGAACTATCATTTTTAGATGTATGTTTGTATTCATACTTTTTTATAAATATATATATATATAAGTATACTTATAACAACACTAAAGAGTTTATCCCAACAATAGGAAAAAAAATAACAAAAAAATTTTTGCAATAAAAAGGAGTGATAGAACTGCTATCAAATCAAGTTTGTATATATTCGACTGATTTATCTATTTAACAATCTATACAAAAATTACCGAAAAATCCTGATAATAAGTATGAAAATGTAGTCTAACTATTGATAAAAAGTACATCAGGACCATTTTGCTAATTTCAAGATTATTTTGCGTTCCGAGTTTTGATCGGGTGTGTTGTAGAACTCTCTCAATATATACTTACGACTGTTAAAGTACGTAGTAGATCAGTTGTTTTACCATAATTTACCTGATTTAGTTAGCAGAGATCAGTTCCGCACATGTTTACAAAGTTACAAGTCGAAGTTCAAAAATATGTTATTTTTTCTAAAACTACTCGTCTCAAAGGAATTCAGTATAAAGACATTATAGCAACTAAATATAGACAAGAGTCAAAATATTTTGGCAGTCATCTTGTTCTGTACTTGGAAGCACATTTTAAGCGAAATTATAAGCTACTTCAAGCTAGTTTTTTTCGCTTAAATTTTCACATGGGTTAGCAGCAGTGGCTAAGTCAATCGACTAATACTGCTATACTGGTTATAATTAATGAAATCAAATGAAGATTCAAGAAGATAAGATAAGTTAAAATATTTCGAAAATTGTATTTCTTTTTTGAAATCTATTAATTTTTAGTATGAAGAGAATTCTTTTGAAAGATGTTATAATGACTAATAATAATAATAATGTGCAACATTCATTGGCAATATCAATCGAATAATGTAGATTATATCACATCATAGTAATCAATAGGTTTTTCACTCTTATCATATATTTGATATTTTATAACAGTTGTCAAAAATTTAATATTGTGATAATATTCTACTATTTTTTATTATTATTAAAATTGAATTCTTTGTTTTTCTAATATATCTATTAAATATTGAATTTCATGAAAATCAATTTTGTTTGATTGAATATTTATAGTTGTTAGTGTCTATTTTTAAATGATAACAATAATATAAATCATTAAAAATATTTGATTTACTTGATTATTTTTCAAAATATTCAATAAATATTGTGCACCTTGATTTTTTATCTTATTACATGCAAGATAAAGTTCTGTTAATGTCTAAAAAGATGAATATTAAATGGATCAATAGAGTATATATATATGTTGTAGGCAAAATTGAAATCCGGGCAAATTTAAAATTTGCCCAGTCAAAATTGAAATTTTAATTTTGACTAGGCAAAATTAGAATTCTAATTTTGACCAAGAATTTATCAGTCAGAACTAAAATTTCAATTTTGACTGGGCAGATTTAAAATTTGACTATAGGTTATATCATTTAAATAAAACAAAAATAATTACAACAAATAAAATAATTTTTTATTAATTCTTTTTAATAAAATGGCTAATAAAAAAATCTTTTCAACTATTCATCCATATTCTTGCAAGCACTTTGTTCTGAGTGACACTTTGCAAAACAGTTAACTCCGATTTTTCTACATTCACATTGCTTTGTAGTGCTTCATAGTCCCTAATGAAAGTATTGAGTTCAAGGTATCCCAAAAGGTACCCTGCCATCAGTATGTTACAAAAACTTTTAAGTATCCTGCAAGGAACTATATCAGTACCTCATCGTAATCGGGTACCTACCTACGTACTTCCCAGTTTCTATAGCATGCATGAAGAATTTTTCAATAATTTAGTCCACTGAACGCCTACAAGCATTCTGAAGTCTAGATAAAAGACCAGAAAAGCATCTTCACGTATTTCAGTCCTTTCATTAAGGATTATTAAGCACTACAAAGCCATATGAATGTAGAAAAATGGGAGTTTTTTGGTTTACAATGTGTCATTCAAAACGAGGTGCTCGTAAGAATATGGATGAATAGTTGAAAAGATTTTTTGTTAACCATTTTATGAAAAAAAACATATTAAAAACTTATTCTATTTCTTGAAATTATTTTGGTTTTATTTAAATGATCTAACCTCTAGTCAAATTTTAAATCTGCCCAGTCAAAATTGAAATTTTAATTCTGACTGATAAATTCTTGCTCAAAATTAGAATTCTAATTTTGCCTAGTCAAAATTAAAATTTCAATTTTGACTGGGCAAATTTAAAATTTGCCCAGATTTCAATTTTGCCTACAACATATATTTACTGTATTTTTCTGTAAGGCATCAGCAATATATTGTGCTCCTATACAATCGATCTTGTTATATTGAAGATGTAGAATATGAAGTGTCTGTATGAAATGAGAGAAATCAATATAAGATTAAAAGAAAAGGTTATCTTACATGATTATTATATAATGCATTTGATAAATATTGTACACCTTGATTACCAATATCATTCCATCCAAGATGTAGTTCTGTTAATGTCTATATTAAAATACATGAAAATATTTAGACTATTGTCTCCATAGAATTTATCTCACATTGTTATTATGTAAAGCATCAGCAAGATATTTTGCGCCATCGGAATTAATTCTATTCAATCGTAGATGCAATTTGATAAGAGTCTTTAAAAAAAGATTAATGAAAGATTCATTAGAATAAAATTGATCTCATTACTTTATTATTATATAATGCATTAGATAAATATTTTACTCCTTGAGAACCAATTCTATTGTCAGAAAGAATCAATGTTGTCAATGTCTATATAAATTTAATGAAAATAAATATAAAATAAATGAATATAAAATTTTATTGCACTTTATTTTTGCATAGCATATTAGCTAGATATTGTGCACCTTCATAATCAATACAGTTATTGGAAAGAATCAATGTCATAAGTGTCTATGTCAATGAATAGAATTACATTATTTAATTGATAAATGAAACTTTTCGTACTCTATTATTTTCTAAAGCATTTGTTAAATATTGTGTACCTTGATTACCAAGATTGTTGATTTGAAGATTTAGAATAGTCAATGTCTGATATAGTTATAAGTTTAGATATGAAATTGATGAATAGAAAATTTATCTCACATGATTATTATTTAAAGCATCAGCTATATATCTTATACCCTCAGAGGTAATTTGATTCCATCCAAGATCAAGTTCCTTTAGTGTCTATAGTAAATAATATAGATAAATATTCGATTGATCAATAGAAAATTAATTTTACTTTGTTATTATTTAATAAATTCGCTAAATATTGCGCACCATCAGTACTAATTGTGTTATTCGAAAGAACTAGTGTTGTAAGTATCTAATAATAAATGATAAAGATAAGTATGAAATATATAATAATCTTACTGTGTTAGTTTTTAATACATCAGTTAAAGATTTTGTCTTTTGATTATCAATTTTATTACATCGAAGATGAATTTCTGTTAATGTCTATATAAAAAGAATGAATATGAATAGAATATTTTTGAATAGAATACTTATCACACTTTATTATTTTGCAATGTATTGACTAGACATTCGAATTCTTGTTCATTGATTCTATGATGAGTAAGATTCAATATAGTAAATGTCTACATAAGAGATTAAATAAAGATTTAAAATATTGTCAAATTCGAACCATTCATTTCAATAAATTAGATTGAAGATGATTTTTAAACAATAGTTATGTTTATTAGTTAAAGACGAGTGGAAACTTACTTTATATCGATGATAAGTATTTGTTATATTCTTTAGTCTTTTACAAACATTACAGAATGATATAAGTATCGTTAACATATCAAGATTGTCGAGAATAGAATAGACAAGTTCGGCAGGTAATGTAATAAGAGATGGAATATTTCTATTAGATATAGATACTATTTCTTGAGAATTATACATTATGTTAAAGCTATAGTTTTGTTTTTCTACTCGACTTTGATCGTATGTTGAATATTCTTCTGAGAGATTGATATTCTCGATTTTTTATTTATGAGAAAAATGGGAATCTTATGACAAGCTATTAATAGAAGACAGAAGTATTTTTTTCTTTTTTTTTTCTTTCCTGCATCATTAGTGCAAAATACACTATTTTGTTGATAGGCGTTGTTAAAAATATGTTTTCTTCTCATCAACCATCAAAATATAGTATCCTTTCTTTTTTCTTTCTTTCCTTTGCACTCGTTGGTATGAATCATAAAGAAAAAAAATGGTACAAGTCGTTAAGAAAATAAGTTAAAATAATGTTATAGATAAGAGCTTCATTTATTATGATTTAAGTTATTGATAATATAAACAAAGTTTCATAAATAACATTCATACGCAAACTAAACGAACATTTCTAAAAATATAGTGTATTCGAAAAGTCTAGTTCATCGAGCTTGGGTCAGAAAATTTTGAATCCAACGGGTCCTCGTCATCTAAGTAATATATAGAGTGCGCTAGTCATAGAAAATCAAAGTACAGTTCGACTGGAGAGGCATGTACGAAAAAGAAACATTTGTACAAGCACGGGCTATATTAATATTGAACTTGACCGTTTATTTTTCTAACTACTTCCATGAGTAATCAACCATGGAAAAAACACAAAGGTACGAAAAAATGTTAGATTGTTCTAAAATTCGGGAGCCATTCGATATTTTTCTGTTTGATTATTGAGTACTCATGAAAGTCCTCTATCAAAAGTTAATTATACTCGGTCAGTTTCTGGAACAATTTTCTGTGTAAAAACCGTCAGAAAAGTTCCTCTGAAGCGTTAGAGAAGCTTAATAGGCAAACTCTAAAAAGATTTGGATTTGACTACGCTATCAAATTTTTGTCTAAGACACCTCAGGTTTTTGGAAAAACTCATATTTTCGAATTGTGACCTGAAACTTTGTGACGTCCACGATATAGGCTCATTTCTATAGATCATGTATAGAATATGTATTTCATATTTCGAAGAGATGTTGTCCGAAATGTATGAATTTTTTTTATGGAAGCTGCTCTAGTTGAGTTCTATGTATACGAAAATATTCAGACCGAAATTCAAAAATAGTGACAGGTTTGACACTTCGTTCGCCCACATATTCAACCGAGCCAAGTACTCATCTTCCAATCTGACAGAATTTATCAAAAGCTTAGCAAGTACTAACGAGTATATTACTTTACAAAAAAAATTAATATCTCTATTTTCTCCGAATTGGAAAAGGCAATATATCATAGGTATATTATCATGAATTTAATTAAGTTCAATACTCATCTAAATCTTCGCAAATGTATTTCAAAATTTTCTCTCTTTCAGAACATTATTTATTGTTTAATAAACTCGTATTCAGTAAGTCAAACCTAAGAGCAGCTACTAAAATAGTCAAAGTAACATTTTTGCTTGCTTATTTGTCTATGCAAGTGATTTTTCTCATGTTGAAAAGCAGATTCTTTGATTGCCCATGAATTCGAACTTAAAAAACTAGTTCTCATTTTCGACGCATTGTTTACTATTGTACTGCTGAACATAGTTAATCGTGATCCATCTAGATCAATGAGACTGTACATAAAACAGCATTGATTCGTTTACAGCAACATATCACTTTTTGATAAATAATGAGTATTATTTTCTATTTATAAAAGCATTAATTCAAGATAATTCAATGTAACGAATTGTTCCTCAAGGGATAATTACATTTAATGACTTCTTGATATAGGAAAGATTAAAGTAGTCATCGTAAATTTACCGCCATTAACAAATACTTCGACCGAACTTCGATCTACAATAACTTGAAATTTTAATATAATCGTGATTAATGTTTCGTTCATCTAACACTATATGTGTTAAATATGAATAAGGTTCATGTGTGGTGTGGGATGGATGGGTGTGGGTGTGGTTGATATAGATAACGGAAAGAGCGACACCCACACCCTTTCATGATATAAACAAATTCGATGGTTGCTTTATTGAGATGAATCTTTCATTAGACACAACTGAATCAAACATTCTTGTGCAAATGTATCTCTTGTTTTATGTTTTTCGGACACATATAATTTATGAAAATTTAAGTTTGATTTTACTTATGAGTTTGAGAAATATCAAGATCAACGGAAATTTGTCTATGTGCTATCACTAGCTTATCAATATTATTCATTATGAATCATCACAGCATAGTTGAGTTACGTTAAGAAAAGATTTTCTAACCATTTTGTCTCAAGACATAAAGAAAGAACCATTATCAACACTTAAATAACAAAATTATATGAAATATTAAAATACAACATACAATAATGTCTAAAAATACCGTCTATATCTAGGAATACATATCTATTTACAATTTACTATTTGCTTTTCTATTCTATGTTTCTTTCTTGTCTCGTTTTTTTTGTCCATATCAATGCACTGCACGAGAACACATAATAATAGTTTAGTCTCGATTTGTCCATAATTACTCATTCTCATTTTTTATGCTGGCTTTGATGTTATTTGATCTTCGAAAAGCCTATCAAGGACAAATCAAGAGAAAGTCCATAGCAACAAATCATATAACAGAAGTTAGAATTTTTGATCCATCATCAATCGACTACAGATCAAAAGACTTTATCATCTCAAGTTGACTTATTAGCCAGGCAAACTATAGAGTTCTCTACAAAATACCGTAAAGACAAAAATGGATTTTCATTGCCTAATGTGAAAATATAGTTATTAACTGTACATAAACATATTTTCAGTTATATTTTTTGTTATGATGAAGAGCTAGTGTAGGTATATACATCGTCAATAAAACTATATCTAAAAATAACTTTTTCGTCGAACTTTTGTATCAGAAATATTGAAGATAATCTAAATTAAGATTAATGGTCAGCCGATTTAGGATCTTATGGGCATTCGTCCTTTAGTCACTAAGGCTATACGATAAATGAACAAAAAATTTCACTTTATTTTAGTTCAAAAAAGTAACAATTAGAAGAAACGAGACAAAGAGAGATTAACGTAAATGTTCACTTCTTGGTTGTGCTATTGAATTTTGTTTTAAAATTTTTGCTTCTGATTCTTTAGCTCGTTTACATGATATTACTATAAATTGTTTATTCTCTATTCCAAATCGAATATAACAATCATCTTCATTATTTTATATATTATCAATTAATTCTGCTAAATGTTTAATATTCTGAATTTCAACACCATTGACAGTTTTCAATACTGAATTTGCAAAATCTGATGATATTCCATGATTAATATCATCAACAAGTATTTGATTAATAATAACAATTTGTTGATTTTGTTCTTGTAAACAACTATGTAATGCTAAATTAATTAAATTTGTTGGAGCTTTTCGATGCCATTCACGTCTACTGAATTCATATAAATAAAATCGACTTAATACTGTAAATACAATACCAGCATAAATTAAATACTCTGGATGTTTATCGTGTGAATGTAATGGAACAAGTGTTTGATTATTATCCAATGGACTTGTTAATGTTAATTCTTTACCTACCAAAAAAAAAGATAACATATTTCAATCTAGAGAGAGAATAGGGGATTTTTTGGATGTCAAAACTAGTCTCGCTTTCGTCTACACATTTGTATTATGTACCCAAGAAACAGAATGAACTAATTTTGTTTGAAAAGTATGAAATGAGAAAACTTTGATAAAATATTGGAAAAAGATTTTATATACTAAGAGCTTGATGATTCTTCCGTCCTCTTTTTGGATTTCACTCTCTGTGTTCTGAACTATTTGCTCTTCCTGAAAATTATTACTATAAAGCCATTGATTTTAGAATAAACACAAGTTGGCACTTCAAATGAAATTTTCTTAAGAGTTTTCTAATACTTAATGTAATTGCGGTGCTAAACGTTCCTGAATATGACAATTGTATCAAAGCAATATATTATTCGATGATTTAGTTTTTTGTTTATATCAGTCTTCGATTTTTCCTTCTAAATTGTTCATTTTTTCTGCGTGTACTCCATTATAATAAAACTTATTTTAGTTGAAAAAAAAGTATCAAGAATATCCGATTGGGATGATACTCAATAAAAAAACTATAGACATCATTTTTTCATGTATTCTTTTTCGTCGTTTTAGAGATCTACGAAATCTATCGTCATCAAGAATACGAGCAGGGACGAACAGCTCCATTTTGATCACTAAGTGATCGACATCTCTGTAGCGATGCTAAGAGGAATCTTGAAGATTTGTTGGAAGCGCACAATCATTAGGTAAGCATTGCCTGAAATTTTCATCGATACTGTGCTTTACGGGTACTGAGAGGCGTTTCTGACAGAGGGAATCTTAAGCATCGTTCATCATATTCACTTTCCACAAAAGCTTTTGTTATTGTCAAAGAAGAACGAAAATGAACAAAAAAATGCTGTCAATGTGACCTTCTTTATTTCAAGCTAAAATAATCTTTAAAGCACCAGGTTGTTATCTTAATCGAATAAAGAAATTTCTCGAATATCTCTAGTGTTTTAAAATAGTCCATGCTATCTAATAAAGTAAGAAAGCATTCGATGATAACATAGGAAAACATCTAGCATAATCAAAACATAGATTTTCGTCTCGACATGGTTCTCACATTTTGTTGTAAAAGGTTACATATAATAAATCAGGCTTTTGATGTCTGCAAAAATTTTTACCAAGAGCATCATAACAAAGTGATTCACAAAAAGTTCTATTCACTTATTTTTCTAATGTTAATTCTAAATCTTACTGAAACGTATCAAATCATATACGTCACTTGAAAGAACATAACTCTAGAAGATGTTCACTTCTTACAATCAATGTTTGAATCAGTGAAAAATGTAAAACTTAAATTTTTCAGCATTGAACAACTTGAAAGTTCCTCATAAAATGAAATTAGACTTCGTGACTCAATATAAGAAAATACTCTATCTTAAAGAAAATTTCATTCTCTTCGAGACG